GATGAACAGGGCAGTATGCTTTATTTTTATCATGTGATGGATATATTTTGTTCCACAGCTGTGTCACACCAACATTAGATTTGTTTTGCTCATCTTACATGTGCAGCTAAACTTATCCTTTATCCAGAACTTTGTTTACCTTTTACCTCGTCTCTTCCATATAATTGATCTCATACATGAAGGAGCTTGAAGCTCCTTTTCATTATGAAGCTTGTACAGCTTTATAGTACAGATACTAAGAGAACACAGTGTTTAGCTAGAATTGGGTTGAATTACAGTATGAACTTTTTTCTGTCAAAATGTAATGCTTTTCCATAGGTAAGAAGGTCAGAAGGATGGAGGGACAAAATGAAAGGCAAGGTGAAAGAATGGATGGAAGAATGCACAGGTGAATGGATGAATTGACGCACAAATAGATTAAGTTTTTAGAAAATGAAAGAAATATATTCTGGAAATACAAATATTTTAATTTTAAGCATGGTTTTCTCTCATTGTTTTATTTTTTCTCTATCTGTCAAGAACTGCTAACACTTCTAGACTTTTAAAAACTGTGTACAAACATTACTTATCTTATGTTTAATGTTATACATGAAGGTTGTAACTACCAGGCTGTGGCCTCATTTCAAAATGATGAGAATGAAATTAAATGTAATGATAACAGAATCCTGGGCACACACAGCAGTACCTGGATTGCCTGACTCCTCTCCCATATAAGAGCCTACAATGAACCACTTGAAGCTGTTTTTAGCTCCACCAATACGATACATTTTTCTGTCCTCTTGTGCTGGAGGGCCAATTAGCACACAAAGCTGTTTTGGCTCCAATCCTAAAAAAAAAACAACAAAAAAAAAAAAAAACCTGGCAACTACAGGCAGTGAACAAGGAAAGTACTATTTGAAGAATAATTTGAGTTAACTGGGTTGGAAAACAATGCAGGTTATTTTAGGAAATTCCTCAACTTGTCAATCCCAACAGACTGAAGCTCGCTGTCTTCCTTCTGCTCTCTCTCCTTCAGCACACTCTTCATTTTCTCTCTCCTCCATCTCTCAACCCCTTTTCCTTCCTGTCATAAAGCAGACTATTTTTGACAAGGCCCCATTTTCACAGTTAGCTCGGCTCAGCACAGCTCTGAGCCGCACACACTTCCTATCTGAGCCTGCTTTCACATACTCCAAACACACAAGCGCCGTCTCTTCTATGACTGCTCTCTGTTGTCAATCTGAGATTGCCGCCATTATTTTTAGACTCAGGTGAAAATAAGGTCTGATTCTGAATTAGTCTTTCTTCTATTTTTGTGTGCCTTCACAAGGTAGGCCAGAAAGATAGACGGTTGCATAAGATCCATGTGCTGATGGCAATAGCACTAGATTTGGACAAGTTTATATTTGAACATTAAATGACGGATCTGAAGAGAAATTCAGGCAGATGAGACTTAAAATATGCTTACATCTGGGTACAGCTGAGGACTGATTATGTCCAAAAATATAGGTGTGTTTTTGCTTCACAAGTGTGATAGATGAACACAACTTGGCTGACGTTACAAAGTATCATGTTTTAAAATATTTATAGGTCTGTTACTGAGAGTTTAAGTCCAGTCTAGATGTCTAACTTTGGTAACTTATAGAAGAAGGCGCTCTTGTCTGTTTTTATTGGCTTGCAGCAAAATGTGATTCTATAATATATATTTTCAGGGAGGCTGAACATAAATATAAGCCCCCTTTTTTTTTTGCCAAACCTTTTCACAATATTATTTGTGGTATATCTGGTGTGTTCTTTGGTCTTTTGCTTCAACAATGTTTTCTAACTAAAATTATGGTGCCTATACAGAGCACCTCTAGCTATTCTGAGACTAAATCACATTAATAGTACACTTAATTTACTGATACGTAAGAATAAAAGGTAATTAGTACAAATGAAGGTCACAATTTTAGATTTAAATTTGTAAATATTTTTCCAACTGCATATTTTTTCTTCCCCTTCTCAATTCTGCCCTACTTTGTTTGTCTATGACCTAAAATTCTGATAAAGAACTGAAGTCAGTGGTTGTAAAATGACAAAAGTGAAAAAGATTATGGGTTTGCATACATTTACAGTCAAGCCAACAACAACCTATTTAAAAAAATTGAATTATACTGAAGGAAAAAGAAAATGTACCCCAAAAGTTACAAGAGCACTAAAGCTAATAAATTATGCTTTAAACTAACAAAAACTATTATAAATGTAGCCAGGATGTTTTTGTTAACGCCACTTGAATGGAGTATGAAAGAAAATCGTAATAATTATGACTCGCTGGCCTGGTTTTAATACAAAAACATGGCAACAAGAAACAAGTGGAGCTTTGTGTTGAAAATCTTTTCTTCTCATTACTGTTGTGCTTCTGAGATTTAACTGAGGTGAAAAAGAGCCAAGCAGTCATACACAGACTTATTGCTATATGAAAACTGCCAAATGCTGGCAGCTTCTGCTCTCTAGATATTTCATTTTGTGCTGGTAAACATTATGAGTTATTCCTCTTGGGTCGCTGTCAATCTTTAGTTGAGTTCAGCTTGAAGCCGTTTGATATTTAAATGCATGTGTTTTTCTGGCTCCTTGGCATGTTGACAAAGCGACACCATATATTAAATCATATTGTAGGACAGTTTGCTGAGAATAATTCAACTATGAATTCTGTTAAATTTGTGATATGGTGCCTGAAGACAACAGAAGCAAGATTCTTATTTGAACCAGAAGTTAAGCAGACGTATAACTTTCAGAACAATAAAATTATTTTTAAATCAATGAGCTGCTGGAAAACTCAAGTCAAAAGAAGAGTATGCATTAGGAATTGCCTTGTAAGAGCTAAGAGCTACATGTTGTAAAGGGCAGTGAAATTTAACATACCAGTGCACAATAATGCCTTTGAAAACTGATGGTGAAAGCAATACTGCCCCCTGAGGCCACATTGGATTATTACATCTATGGGAATTCTTCAGCAAATAAACCAAGATGTTGATTATACTTCTGGTTGGGCTAAATTATATTTCAGGATGTTTGTTGAGTAAATATAGTTAAAAAAGCAAACCATTTTTAAGAGCTGTACTTTTTTTAGATTATTGCAAAAATATGACTTCCCAGAATCGCTTTCTTTTTAGGATGTCCTACTGAGTACCTTATGAAGATTTTTAACACATTCGCAGTTTATCTTAAAAATGTTGAGCACAACACTGAAGCTATATATGTTTGTACAGGTTTCCATTATAAAAAGACATTTATACATTGACAAACATCTGTCACTATGTTTAAATGACTTTAGCTAAGGCTGTTTTCACACCTGACAGTCTGGTAGACTCACTTTGAGGGACCAACATTGTAACATTTGTTCCATTTTCAGCTAGTGCAGTTTGCTTTCTCACAGCACTGATCAAATGAACCAAAGCCTTTCAAAAGCTTGTTCCCCCTCCTTGCCTGTAGTGGCGCTGCACCAAGAACTACTGAAGGAAACAACATGAAAACTTCTGAAGAAGACAGTGAGCACAACTTTCTTCACAAAATCTAAACAGAAACATAATAGAATTAGATTTTGGCAGATTTAGGGTTTTTCTTTTGTCTTTGGCAAAAAGGCCACATATCATTTCTCCTAAGAGTGATCACTTGAGCTGACACGTTTCTTTTTGTTGTATTTACCCAGAATCTCTTAGTATGGTACAGTTCGCTTCCTGCTGTTTGGCTCTGCTTGCATTCCCAATACACAACTGGGCCAGATTCCACTTCAACCCAGCCGAGACCTCGGTTTGCAGGTGGACCAGAGTTTCCATTTTTGATTCGCATCAGAGTTCAGTTGAGCATCAACACCTCTCCAAACGAACCACATTTCCAGAAATCAAACTAAAGTTTGATTAAAGCAAACTAAACAGAACTGGTAGGAATTCTGACATAAATCAAAAATTATTTTATGAACACCAAGTATTCAAAGTACATTTCAAGGAAGCAGGGCGACGGGTTAGTTTCACTTCCCTAATGACTCTTCAAGTCCCCTGTGACAAGAGACACACTCTAGTAATGATGTAAAAAAAAGGGGCTTTTCTACAAATACTGTGACCTTCATTTGTATTCAAAAAATACTTAAGGGTAATAGCTTTTACCTGTTTATATTCTCCAATAATAGAACCGTTCTTCTTTATCTCTGACTCCGATTTATCAAGCTCCCTTCGGCACATTTCTTTCAGCTGAATACAGAAAAAAAACACAAACACAGACATAATTAGGTGGCTATAGAAGGCAAAAATATACAAGACAAACCGATTCAGAGGCCACGGAGAACATACGACTGCCAAAAATTGTAAATAAAATGCAGAAAAGTACTGACATAGTGTAGGATGGTGACAACACTGTGCCCTAAACACAACCTTCACTCTGATACATAAATCATTGAGTGTTACACCTGCAGACTCAACAAGGCACAAGACATTTGGAGGACAGGCACAGAGGGCTGCAGGTCGGACCATTCCTCACTGAGCAAGAGAAAATATACATCAAACAGTGACAGTTTTCATATGAAGTGATCCCCTATAGTAGCATCTATGTTGAATTGACAATTTTTAAAGAAAACCGTGAAGGTGTCACACAGAGAATGAACAATAATTTCAGATCTTGGGTAAAGTCTTTCTTTTTTAATAATGAATGAGGCAAATGATTGAATACATTCTGCAGGAATTAGAAAAATAATATACATAAATGCTGACATGGAAAAATGGACTGACTAATATAAAATATAGTTTTCATTTGCAAGGAAACTGTAATGATTTGTATAACTGAGGTGAACAACCTCAGAATCACTGAACCTGACAGGGATAAACTGTTTGCTTTAAAAATCAATTGATGTTATTTATAGTGCTGATCACAACCCGCAGAGGCTTGACTCTCTCAATAATTTATTCATAAATAACATTTCCCACCATTCACCTTCTCATTTTGACATTAGGAGATAATGCCAGAAGATTTAGTTGTTTTTGTTTTCACAGGTTTTCTCAGACAAAAGCTCAAGGAAGAAAAGCCTTGCAGTTTTGCTCTCACCTGTGCCGACTCTTCCTCCAGCCGTCTCTTCTCATCTTCAGACTCAATCAGCTTCTGTTTGGTGAGCAGTAGCTCTTTATTCAGGGCATCTGCCTTTTCTTCAGCCTGACACGAACATAAACACAATACGAAACAAAAAGAGACCACAAGGTTGAAAAGAGTTGAAAGTTTGGCTTGTCCTACTTTCCGTTTTACATGCTCCATTTTAAAGGTAGGTCAACAAAAACCCTGAGCGTGAATCTGTGCAGGTTTTAAGACAAAAAAAAATAACAGCAAAACTTGTGCTGTGTCTCTGTCACAAATTTATTACCTCTGCTAAATGGAACACATCCCATCACACACATTTTTCTGTTGGCTTACATTGTCCAGATCTTTCCGAAGAGCTATTTTGCTGCTCACTAGTTCATGTGCCAAGTCGTCGTTCTCCTGCTCCAAACGCATGTTGGCCTCTTGCAAACGCCGATTCTCCCGCTGGACACAGGAAGAGAGGGAAAGACAAGAGAAGAAAAAAAGAAGTGAATATGAGGAAAAAAAGATAAATGACAAAAACACCAAGGAGTAGAAAAGTGAAACAGAAGAGAACAGACAGAGAAAGAAAGAGGCATTAGAAAAAGAGGAAGAAAAAGTCAAGAGACAGCAGAACAGGGGAAACAAGTTAATCATAAAGCATGTCATATGAAAGTGTAATATACTGTTCCTGGGTCAGTTTTTTTTTAGAGAACCATAAAGTTTACTGAGGTTAAAACATAGTGAAAGAGGACACTGCACTGTTAAAACATAACTTGTTTGTATATCATTAACAACCGACTGAAAAATGAAAGATGACATAAAGCTAGCAAGAAGAGGCAACTGAGAGGGAAAACTCAAAACCTAAACACAGTAAAACCTTTATGTTTTGTACTTTAGCTGATTCTTCCTCCCTCATTTAATTATTTTTGGGATCGTAGGCCAGACTTACCACGGCTTTGTGTCTGCTTTACACAACAATTTTTATTTTGTAGGTCAAATGTTTTGATATTAAAGGAGACGACACTGACGGTTTATTCCTGGATAAATGGATCATGCCTTCTGTGTGTATTTCTACCTCATATCTCTCAATGGGGGCTTCTTGTTGCTCCTGCTGCTCCCGTATGGTGTGGTACTCCTTCTCAAATTTCTTCAGCTTCTTCTGACTTATCTATATTTTTAAGCAAAAAAGAGAAAGGAAAAACAAACGCTTAGCAACTGAACACATTGAAGAATATTAACTCATCCGGCTAACTTGACGGGAATGAGGAGGAAGTCACTGTGCTTAACTATAAAAAACTGTAGATTTAAGGAAGGAGTTTTGAGTTACTTTTGAAATGAAAAGCAGCTGAAATGCTGGGTAATACGAGACTTACTGGTGGCTTAAAGCAGGGAATTTTTTAATTGTAAGTCGACAATCGGGTGTCTGGAAACTCAAAAACTCAATCATATTAGCGAATAAGTCATAAACGGCTGTCATGTTGAACTAGCAGCACTTCTATCCTTCAGAGAGGAAAAACAGAAGTCAAAGAAACTTTCAGTTTCTGTAGGTATTTAAAAGCAAGAACTCAAATGTTCTGGGATATAATGAACGTTTTTTCTATTTACGTATTTCACCTTGCATCTTATTTTATGTTTGTGCTACATGCCTCCTTTAATATATTTAATTTCCCACTAATTTTCCACTTTTAAAAATTAAAAACCAACCTTAAGTTCAGAAATTAGTAAACACTGCATTTTATAATACAATTCACTTTCAATCTCAAGTTTGAAGTATGTAAAAACATTTTTAAAAAATAGATATTTTAGTGTGTCAAGCTTTTTTATTATTAATAAACTTTATGAATGTAGTGGATGTTTCCTACAGAAGTGTTTGAGGACAGAGCATTGAGAAAACAGCGTGATAAATACTAAAACATAATTTAATGAAGCCTTGAGGCAGATAATTTGCCTCGAGAAATTTTAAGAATCAAAATCCTTGAATCATTCAACGACTCGTTACAGTCCTAGTTTAGTTACAATGACGATGAAACAAAGATCCCTGTTAATTTTGAGTACCGATAATTATTTTCATAAACTTGCCAACAGATGCAGTCTCCCTGAACTTAACAGAAACTAAAAACACAAAAAGCTATGCACATGTAAATATTCAGCACAAGTTAGATGCAGCAAGTCTTGGCTCATGATGTCAAGGAAAAGTTAACTGGAGCTTAAACTTTGAAACAAATGAAGTAAGACTGAAAATGTGGAATGTTATTTATAGGAAAGTGCTCCAATAGCACCTGAGGTTACTGTTAAACAGCAGTGTGTGCTGATAATGAGCTCTCAGAAGACAAGCAAAAGCTGAATCAACAGAAAGACTGCGGAAACAAAGGAACAGCATGCTGCAGAAAGAGGGTGAAAAAGTTCATACCTAAGGCGGTATTGTTTCATTTTGGTTGATAAAACATGTGTTACAATAGTTTTGTCCAAAATTAAAGCAGAAAATCTGATCAGGGTTTTGTGTTTTGTCACTTTATCAAATATCTTACTAAAAACAACATTGCATTACATACACAGTGTAGCTTGAAGCAGATATAATCTAATTTAATATTTTTTTTGAGGGGGTTGAAGTCTTTTCTGTTTCCAGTGATATTCAGTGACTTATCCAAAATCAGACTTGACAACTGCCTGTTGTTCCTGCTTAAAACACATAAAATAATATATATTTTTTTATACTGATCAGAACTAATCTACATATCTAGAGAGGTATAAATATTTATATCTTCTGGGCAATTTGCATTCTGCAGATTTACAGATGTAAAGGCCACCAGACATGAGGAACATGTCTCTTGGCAGGAATCCCAAGAGACAATAAAAATGGAAATGAAACTCAGTTCACTCTTCTTTTTGTTTCACTAGTTATGCTTTATAAATGCATTTGCCCTGGAAAATATGTAAGTGACCATGTTCTGACTGAAATAAAGAGCTATCATTGTTCAACCCAGTTCTCAATCTAATTTATAAAAATAACAAACCTTTGTATATTTTGGTGAACAAATTAAATTACATTTGCATATAGACTAGCTGAGGTTCATTTTTGTTGTTGACTTTCAGTTTGATTTCCAGGGGAATTCCTGCATCTCCACGTCCTACTTAAAGCATTAACATAATTATTTTAACATTGCTCCTACACAAAATTGTTTTTGCGGAGTAAACAATGTTGCAGTTCATTACCGGAAAATATAACAAGAGAGTAACTCATTCCTATTTAAATCCAATCCCTCCACAAATGTCCACATTTTCTGACCCGCACGCTAATCATGTGGATGACTTATTTGTCAAGGATAAGGTTCTTCGATACTGTTTTGTTCAAGCAGAATTACTAAAATCTTAATTTTCAGTTTAAAACTGAAAGTGAGGAAGGAATCAAAAAGTCATTTTCTGCAAGAAATTACAGTTTAGCACTTACCAAATATTACCATGGTCAACAAACCACCACATATTAATGATTTATTCACAAATATATTGACCTTTTTTATTAAATTCAAAACAATTCTATTTTGTATTTTAATAGTAATACTCCCCAGCTCTCAAATTGACTTAAGGCTTGCAATGGTATGAAGCTATCATTTATTAAGCCTGTTTTCAAAACCTACATCTCTATAAAGAGGTCTTAAATCTTCCAAAAATTAGATTTCTTAAAAGGTTGAAAGCACCTTTGGTTAGTTAAAATATTTTTATGTAGTTCTTGTCCAATCAGGCATTTGGAAGAATGGCTGCTACCCCTGCAACCTGACCCCAGATAAGCAGGAAGAAGGGAGAGAGGGAGGGGTGGGTGGATGGATGGAAGAATAAAATTGAAGAAAAATTTGAAACATGGTGAACAATTATGATCTATTTAATGATAAAAACAGATGTCAGAGTCATGCCTTCCGCCGTGATTCATGCAGAAGGCATAAACATTCAGTAAGGTAAACAATAATCTATCCATTTTGTCCCACTGTAGTGACAGTTCTCAGATTACCAAACCACAATTGAGGACAAAGGTGAATGTATCCAACAACTTCACACACTGTGCAAAGAACTACATCAGTGTGTTTAATAAAAATGACAATTTACATTTACCAAACCAATAACATCTAATTTGGAAGCAATGGAGTTTGTAAATATTTGATTTTATCAAGCGTTTCTTCCCATATGAGAGTCTTCTTGAGCTCATTTTGATTTATTTTCAGAATCGATGCCTTCATAACAGACACTGGAGCATCTTCAGAGCTGCACAGCTGCTTTGGTTAAGTATGATTTACTTCCTCTGCTGGAAGAGCATTGGAACGTGGTTCCTCTGCTGCCCACCTGCCCATCTCAAGAGCAGAAAGTTAAAATCTTTCTTGAAGTTGGCTTCCTTACAGAGTTTGTGGAAAGAAATGTTCATGTCCAAAGTTACCTTCAAAGTCAGATCCTCTAAACTGGGCCAGACTGTTCAAATCAGGTCAGGAAACAGGTGTGAGTGTTTAAGGGAGGGACGTGTGTTTGGTGTGTTTTTTGCTTTTATGTTAGTCATGACAAAGCTCAACAGTGTCCCCTTGTGGTATTTGAGCAGCATTGCTGAATTTCACAGGTTTTGTACAATGAAACTAAACATTTTAAACATATATGAAGGTTAAAAAATAAATAAATAAATAAATAAATAAGAGTACAGATAGCACTTTGAATTATCTATACTTGTTCTGCACCTTAAGCCACTTTGGTCATTAAAACTCACCTTCATGCTACAAGCCAGCTCCATCAGTTTCTTAGCATTTTCTTCAGAGCGGTACCTTTTTGGGACGGGGACACGAAAGAATTTGAGAGCGCCCTCAAAGTCTGTCTGCAATAGATCGTCTTTTGAAGTCTGAGAAAAAAGACGTGATGTTTAATGAAACAGAGACTTGAAATACCAAATTGAAAACTGCTACTACACTTTTTGTGCTCTGAGAAGTAGATGAAATTAAACTTTGGAGGCAAATCTTTAACCAAAAGTATGTTCACTCAATCCACCACAACACAAAATAATGACTTTTCCCTAAA